TTTATGTTTCAAAAAAATCAGGTGGCACTGAAATTCCTTTCAAACTTTTAAAGGATGATAATTTTGATAAAAATAGTTGATTAGATGTACTTGAAATTGCTCCATTATCAGAAGATAGAAAAAATGGAAATAGAACCAAGAATTATAGAAATGATGGTTAAATCCATCTTAATCTCAAGTTATAAAATCCAAACAATCAAGTTTGACCACAATACAAATAACGAAATAGAAAAATTTGTATTAAAAGAAGAAGAGTTAACTAAATTAATTACAAAAGTAAGTTTTTTTGTTCAAATAAGTAAAACAAATTGAAAGCTGTGAATATTATTAATAAAATTAAATCTACCATTAAGTTTAGGTAAGAAATGAAGTTGAAGAAATAGATGTTTGTAACATTTTAAAAATAATCTTTGATTCTCTTTCTTATGTTTCAAAATAATTTGGGGATGTTTGTTTAATTTTTTCCATGTGTGTGAATTATTAATAGGAATTGAACAAAGAAATAGAGTATTTGAAAACGGAAAATGCAGTAAGCAACTATAATGAGTTTTAAATCATTTTAAATACAAATGTCAGAGATTTAAATTTGACAATTTAATTTTTTTTTTAGGCATTGAAAAAAAAAATTGCTAATGATGATGAGGAAACTGTTGAAGGTGACTTTTAATATTATATTGATTTTACTTGGGTAAATAAAATAATGTAAAATAAATCTAAATTTTTTTTAGATGAAGAAGAAATGCAAGCAAAAACAATCAACAAACAAAAATTAAACAAACAAAAAATAAACCAATGAAAAATAAACCAAATAAAAATAAAAATAAATGTAATGGATTTATTAATACTATAAATAAATTAAAATTATTTTTTTTTTTTAATATGTTAGACATTAAAATATTATTCATCTAAATTATTGTTTTATTTGTTTATCCAGGAATCAAAATAAGCCAGAACAATCAAGATAATGATGGTAATGATGAAGATGATCTTAATGGTAAAAATCTAATTTTATTTTGAAGTTTTTTTCTGATAATGTTCCACATACACTAAAGCAACCAATGTTCTTGTTGCTATCTATTAACTATTATTTTAGATAAAAACAAGCACAAATAAATGGTATTGAGGAATTGGAGGATTTTTTAAAAAAGTGGAATAAAAATGATAAAGATTGTATGCTGATGTCTGATAAACTAATGGAATATCGTATGAAGCTGCTACTAAACTTGGCAAAAGTTTATCAATATTTTTACAATCATAAAAAAACAATTAGAGGCAAAATTAGAGAGAAAATTTCAAATATACTTAACATTACAAAAAGGGATGAATGAAAAAAATATCATGTGCTACTATGTTTACATTACCTATTTCATAATAATGTTATAAAAGCATTGAACAATTGGTAATTGCAGGTGCAAACCTTACTTTCTTTTCCAACCTCAACGAACTTCATTTCAATTTGTTTGTGCAGTATATCATTGGAAAATCCAACTTAGTATTTAATTCCAATGATGTTAGTGAAACATTTATTGAAAATTCAAGGATCACAACATCTGAAATTATGATCATTGAAGAATAAATCAATATTTGGATTTTATAATTATTTAGTCAACATTAATTTAATCAAAGTATTTTTGATCAATCAATTATTTTTAGTTTTTTCACACAAAATATAAATGTAAGTCAATTTTAGAAATCATTTCTGAATTTTAAAAAAACTTTGTAGAGAAAAAACTATTGTTACCGGAATTAGATTCTAATAAAGATATTTTGGACAAATCTTGCAATTCCGGGTCAAATTAATTCTATTTCTATTTTTATTTATTATTTTATTTTTTAAATTAAAAAAGTGTGAATTAATCACAATTATACAATTCTCTAAAAAATAATATTAGTATAATATTTGACAAAATAGGATTTTTTATTAGAATTAGTTGAATATATGTTTTTTTAGAAGAAGTAAATAATATATTAAAATTTTATATTGTGAAAAAAAACTCCTTTTAAAATTTATTTATAAATATAAAACTATAATGATGAGTGGTAAACCAATAATCATCACTATACATGTGGTCAAAATTATTAAATTGCGTCAGACGCAATTAAAAATCTAGAAAATTGAACATTGCGTCACCAA